TCAATTCAACCAACTTTGAAGGACAAAATATGAGATGCATTGTTATATGACGTAGGGTTTCATAAAATATTAGACCAGGTGAATATAGGTCAGATGGAGAAATCTGAGGTTGATGAAGAAAAACTATGGAGGTATAAGAAAGAATTTGTTTTTCTTATGTGAATGATTTACGCAAAGAAATTTTGCTTGAGACACATTATTCATGATACATGATACATTCAAGAAGCAACAAGATGTATCAAGATCTTAAAGGCTTATTCTGGTGGCCATAGTTGAAGTGTAATATAACAGAGTTTGTAGTAAAGTGTCATACTTGTCAGATGGATAAGGCTGAACATCAGAAACCCAGTTGGCTATTGCAACCGTTGCCTATACCAGAGTGGAAATGGGAGGACATTGCCATGGACTTTGTGACGGGACTACCAAGATAAAAGCAGGGTTGTGATGGTATATAGGTGACTATTGATTGTCTGACTAAGTTTACGCATTTATTGGTTATCAGACAGATAGATTCTGTGGATATGTTGGTCATAATTTATGTTGATGAAATTGTGCGACTGCATGGAGTCCCAAAGTTTATTTTTTCGGATCGAGATGGTGGATTCACATCCAAAATATGGAGGAAAGTTCAAGAGGCTTTGGGTGCTTAATTAAACTTTATTACAAATTTTCATCCGCAAATAAACGGTTAGTCAGAGAGAACGGCCCAAATTTTGGAAGACCTGCGTCGACTTTGTGTTTTTGATTTTGGTGGAAACTGAGAAATATACATAATAACAGTTTCCAGACCAATATTAGTATGCATTTTTATGAAGCTCTTTATGGAAGAAAATGCAGGACACCTCTTTGTTGATTTTGGATAAAACAGGTGAAAGATGATTAATTGATGCTTATTTAGTTGATGAAACGACTGAGAAGATCGAGAGCTTTGAGAGACAGTGCTAGACAGAGGAAGAAGAAGGAGAGGAAGAAGGAAGGAGGGGGAGATGAGCGTTCACCTATTACGTCGTTTCCTGCCATTCTCATGATCAAACTAGCTTGACAGATGCTCAAATGCCTCTATCGGGTGTTGCAGACAAGTGGAAGGTGAATGGAGATGCTCGAACAATAGCTCGGGGAGAAGGAACTGCTCGCTGGAACTGTTTCACGTGTAGAGATGCACAATCTCGAGCATATAACGCAGTCAGCAAGGGTGTCCGATGCCCTCATCGTGAGCAGAGGATGGAGGGTAAGTCAAGAGGAGGGTAATTGCAAAAATACAACACAGTGGGCAAAGAGGTGGTAAATATTTTTAATTTACAATTGTTCTGCTATTTACAGATGCTTTTACTGTTTTCTAGCTTTTCCTTTAAAACGCAAAAAGTCACGTTTTTATTATTAACGGTAAATGCAATAAAATAAATAAAATATTATATATGCATGTATATGTGAGTTATTTCTAGATGTTACTGACAGACGATGCAATGTATCCCTTCACGAAATGAAAAATGGAAATAGAAATATTTGCCTACTTTATGGTATGTTGGAAATGGTTAAACTTATATTTTTTTTCAGAAACATACGTTTAGGCACTGACTCTTAGTAATGAAAAGTGTAATTGAAAGAAATGGAAATAAATTTAAAATGTTTTCATTTACCGTGCACATCACTTTTACTTTTTACTGTATTTTTCTAAAATATTTTAAAATGTGATTTATTGTAATTTAAAAACATTTGCTCATTGAGTAGTTTTAAGTCAAACCTTTAGTTGCTAATATTTTACACGAAAATCAGTCGTAGACTAGATAAACCCCAGTGATTGTGTGTACATGCTTCGTGAAACGCTTACTGATAGGTATTTTAGTTCACTTTATTTTTGTTAGTTGTAAATGTTTAAATATGAATAATATTTTGTACATATAAGTTTATGAAATAGATTGACTCTTAATTTGTTTTGGATTTTATTTTGTTACAAAATGACAACAACAATAAGCCTTTATCCCACTTGTGGGGTCGGCTATATGAATTTTTTTTCTCAATTGCGTCTTTTTGAGTGTCATATTTCATTTAATTCTAATAGGTTTAGATCATTTTTTATACAATATGCCCAAGTCTTTTTATGTCCACCTCTGTCTTTCTTAACATATCTAAATCATCTACTCTTCTAATTGGATCATCAAATGGTCGACGTTTAATGTGACCAAATCATCTAAGACGACTCTTTATAATCTTGTCCGCCACTGGAGTTGCGCCAATCCTATCACAAATATATTCATTTTGCATTATCTCTAAATGTCAAAACATTCATCCACTTAAGCATTTGTCACCTTAGCAGCACTTAACATTGTTTTATGCTTCCCTTTTAAAGGCCAACATTTCCTACCATAGAACATTGCAGCTCTCTGTTTTTGTTCTTTTTCTCTTTTTTATTTTAAAAGGAGCTATAAACTTGTTGATCGTTGTATACTTCCCTTTCCTGGATAAATCTCTCTTCCGGATCATATTAATGATCAGGAGAAGAGAGGAACCAAAAAAGATGAGGCATATGACAATGACGACAAACAAGTGAAAAAAGAAACATGAAGAGTCTACCTGCGTAAACTTCGCAAGGATAGGTCAAGCATGTCCGCCCAAACATGATTGAGCGGATATATCTTGGATCGATATCTGCGAATACCTACGCAGACTACCCATAATCAGATAGTCAGGTGTATGTGTCTGTTCTGGGGTTAAGAATGCTCGCAAGGAGACATCTTACTTGGTTAATTACATCTGTAGGGTTGCCCAAGAACACTCTTGATCCAAGGGAGCTTTGCTTATATAGTAGTGACGACTAGCACAAAGCTATCAAATAAAGGCTATCTTGTAGGGGATGCTCCACTGCTTTCAAAGCTCTCTCTAGGCCACGAGGCGGAGAGTGAGTCTCTCATGGTCCCTACATGTGTATTAGACTCATCGTCATACGGAGCCTGCAGAATAATTGAATCATCCCGACGAGGGATCCTGATATGTCAGAGCACATCCGGGCTATAAGGGTAAATGACAAATCGTCGTATCCCAAACGGGCGGTATCTCATTGACAATCAAACCCCCATTTTTGATATATCATAATTAATTCAATTTTTCATCCTCTAAGCTTGGACCTAAGCAAGCTTAACCCCAATTTATTATATTTCATATTCAAGTCAAGAATAGCCCCAACATAAATTATGACAACATCTCAGCCTTCCCGTCTATCTCAAAAGACTCGCTGATCAATGTTATAAGATGTCGTGATCAGGGAGTAAAATAGAACATTTAACTTGCGATCTCAAAAGATACAACAAACCTTCAATACACCTGCATAAAAGGTTAGATTTTAACTAGAGAGTTCCTCGAGCGGTACTTTACTTTCCCGAAGGGTACTTAATTCCTATGGACAAGTACTCGTGTTTCCCAAAGGACGAGTATTTTAAAATCTTAATTTTAAAAAGTGTTCTCCAGATGAGTTTATGATTTCCCCGAACGGTACTTAATTCTCACGGGCGGGTACTTGTGCTCTCCTTGAATTAAGAATTTCAAAAATTTCCCTATTACCCCAATGTTAAACATTTCGAGCTCTGATGGCATTATCAGTGGCGAATCAGGATGACAATGATCAAATCCACAAATAAAATTACAGCATAGCTTTCTGATTTTCTAATTTTTTATTCAAATATAATATAACATAAAAAAAATGCAAAATGGAAATATGAAAAACTTAGTTCTTGATTTAAGTAGCTTGGAGTCAATCACTTTGGTGTGCTCGGCTTCAATTAATGCAGAGCAGCAGAGCATTGTGCGATAGGGAAGAACAGGGACTAAATCGCTTGAACCATGAAGAAGACTGGAGTTTTTGGAGACTCATGCTTTTGGATTTACGAGATAAAGAAGGGGAGACTACGGGTTGTCGTGCAGTGCAAGAGGACGAGCAAAGGAGAGAAATATTGGAGTTTCGGAGATCTTTATACGTTGTGATCTTGTCGTTGCTTTGAGAGAAAGATGGGATTTTGAAGGTTTTCTTTGCAATCTCGTTGTTGCATGATCATGTCATTATCGCTTGCCCTCGTTGCGACTGTATTGTCCGAATCGGGAAGAATGACGAGAGCGCGGGGTGTGTAGTGGAGGGAGGAGAATTGGGAGTTTGATCCAGTCCCCCCATCAAGGGGAGAAAATTTACATACGGAGTTCCGACGCAGTTTTGCGTCTGAACTCCAATAAAATTAAGCAAGGTGTACAAAATTAAAAACTTGCTTGCATTGCGATTCATAAATTTATAATTTTTTTAAAGGAGGACCAACTGAAATACACTTGGCATTGTGTTACTGCAGTCCGGACTCCGTATATAAAATTTTTTTCATCAAGAGACGGATTCCTTCGTGAGTCATCCTGGAGAAAGTTGTGAACAATTTTTTTTTTAGAAACCGAGAGAGGGAGTAGTTACTTTTTTTATTTTAATTTAATTTATTAATTGTTTTTTTAGTAGTCAACATAGGCCATAAGAAAGTCATTGATAACCAAATTAAGTGTGGCAGATTATAATGTTTGCATGAATGCGTGGTTAAATTATGATTGATAAAGTGAGAATGATTGTAATATGGAGTCAATGGGAGCTACACTATTTAAAGTAATATTGCAGAAAGTATGGTTTAGGTGTTTTAGGCATGAACTATGGAGAGTAGAACCTACATTACTTGGATGGATTGATAGATTAATGTTAGAACGATTTTGTAGCAGAAAAGGTCGTTCTAAAATAACCTTGACCAGTGTTTATGCAGAAAGCTGACATTGAACTGAGTAGATTTATCACTTTATATACACTTGAAATGAATGAAAAATGAAGATTCTTAAAGCTGACTCAAATAGGTGGGAGAGGCCATGACAACATCATGGACCTTTAAAAAATGAAATGTATACATTATTAATATTGTCTCTGACAATGATATTATTGATGTAACATTACAAATGGTTGTCTTCCAATAATGAATCTTTTTCTACGTCAGAAATAAAGCTAATTGATGTTCCTGAAATGAACTACACCTCTGAAGATCATCCTTGTCCTCGTGGTGAAATCTGTGTTAGGGGGCCTATAATATTTCGAGGCTACTACAAAGATGATGTCCAGACGTAATTTTTTTTATCTTGGTCCCTAAATTAAATCTGCCTCTAAATTTAGTCAATTGATTTTTTTTTTCCCTTAAATCCCTAGGAAGGAGGTCGTTGATGATGACGGATGGTTGCATACTGGAGATATTGGCTTGTGGTTACCTGGAGGACGTCTAAAAATCATTGATAGGTAAGGTAAAACTTACTGTTTCATTTCATGTCTTTTGCTCGTTGGCCATAAATTCTTCAATGCTATGTAAAATGCTGTAAGTTCACCATTCGCATTCTGTTAAAGGTTCAGCTAGTTCTTCTTTTTTTTCTTTCTTGCTCTTCATGGACTGAAAACAGAAATCAAGTTCGAGTTCTATTACGTAGCTGTATCCCATCAATCATCAGCCTAGTTGGGGCTACAAGGAAGCTTTTTTATTTCAAGAAACAGTTCTTTTAGAATTGGTGAAATGTTTAATTGCAAGTGCTGGCAAATTTAAATTTTATGACATGTTTTGGATTTGCTTTGATTTATATGAGCTATGCTTAGATTATTTCTCTAACAAAAATGGAAAACATTTTTATTTATGTGCTTTGGGGCTAAGCAATATGTTCTGTAAAGGAAAACTTAATAGATTATTTCTCTAACAAAAATGGAAAACATTTTTATTTATTAACGTGAGTATTAAATGAGCAATATTTTATGACATGAAACCCCGTTCTGTAAAGGAAAACTTGCTGTTAAAAAGCTAAGTTTGTCATCTAATAATACTATACATTGAACTTCACTCAAAAAATGAATTTTTGCATTTGTAAGATACATGATTGTTCAAGTTTCTGTTTTTGGTCGAGAGTATTTTGTTAGAGAGGCAATGGGTTCAATTTTCCTCAGCTGAAATCAGCCACCCATGTGTGGAGAATGTGAGAGGGCTGTGATGAGGGTAGCATAATTGATTTCATATATTGTAATTTATGGTGGACAATTGAGTCATTCTTTTGCGTCAACCATAGTTGATGTTGAACCCATGGATTTGGGATTGTTGGAGTGAATCAAGTGCTAGAAGCAGCTCCCAAGTGCAGTTGCGGAAGGCATCCCAATGCGGGGCGCTTCGAACTCACAGGGCCAGAAGCCCCACAAAACTTCGCAGCTGCGGGAACTCCATCGAAGGAGGGTGGAAACCCGGTTGAAGGCTGGGGATCGCGAACTTTCCCGATCTGAGGAGACACCTTCTGTGGGAATTTTGGGAAGGGTTTTTCTGGATTCTTCTCACTCTCTTCCTTTGTGTAGAAGCTTCCTCCGGGAGCCTATAAATTGTTTTCCTGTGTGTGTGGGAAGTCCGTTTTTGTGGTTTTTGTCCTTAGTTTTCTTTGTGGAGTAGTTTTCCCCTTGCGGGTTGTATCCGAGGAGGAGGTAGTGCTCTGGTTGTATCATCTCCGAGGTGGTAATTGTATCATTCATTTTTACCTTCCCCAAACTTTCTCCTCCCCTCTTCTCATCCGCCGAACCCTCCCTCTGTCACCAACACCCAGCCGTACCCTTTCCTGCAGGTTATTACTGTTATCCAGTCTTCCGTCCTCCTTCCAAACTCCTCTCAACTACCCCACAGTCCGCTGTCGTCCACCTACAACGCTCCCTACTTGTTGTCGCTACAGTTCCACACCTTCCCTTCACTGCCACCCGCCTCTTGTGACTGTCATCATCCTTTCCAATCATCTATATCCCTCTAGCAGATCTTCACCACCTATTGAGATACATTTATGAGTATTTGATTATCATTTCATGTTTTTTTTTTGTCATTTCTTATTTATGTCGTGTTGTAACTCTATTGTAATATTAATGAAAGTTTGTTTTTTTTGTTTCTACTGTTTTTCCTACTAGTATCATTAGTATTGGAGCTCGTCCAACCCTAGTCCCATCCCAGATTTCCCAAGCTCTGACCCTACCCAGGCTACCTCCACCAAATTTCTCCTTCTGATTCCCAACCCTAGCCATGCCACTGTGAAGAGGTGCGACTCGAGAAGTGATTCAACAAGAAATTCGTCGTCTGCAACGGAGACTAGCAGAGCCGGATGATGGAAACCAAGATGAGTTTAGCTTCGATCGTGATCGAGAGAGTCAAAGTGAATAGAGAGACGAGGAGATGAATCCGTCCACATGGTAGATCACAGTGACGAGGAATATTGACCATTCCGTTTTGATTTCCAATATCAAAGAAGGTCGAGAGAAGATGCCCCTTATGGAGGTTAGTAGAATTTTGACATCAAGATAGACCTCCCAGAATTTGAGGAAGGTATGGATCCTGATGAGTTTACCGACGGGTTACAATCAATCGAACTAATTTTCGAATATAAAGTTGTACCAGAGGATAAAAGAGTCAAGCTAGCTGCCATTAAACTATAGAAAATGAGTTTTCATCTACACAACACATAAATGTTTTCATCCACACAACACTTTAAACTATAGAAAATTTACCGATACAAAACACATTTTTTATTTTTTACCTGCACAACACATGTTTGTCAAACAAGCGACAGACGTTGCCTCCTTTCCATGCTGTCTTGTCCCAAGCGAATTGTTGCGAATCGAAGACTGACACGAGCAAAACGATGACTGTAGCGTTGTCGAAAGCGGTGATGGAGCAGAGATAGACGTTGCGGAAGAAGGAATGACAGGCAATGGTGTAGGCGACGAGGGTATAAAGTGATGAGATGATGAGATCAGAGAAGCCAGTGAAGTCGAGGCGGAGCATTATGTAGCTTGCTTTGCAAGAGTTGCAGGAGAGGAGGTGATAGGCGCTGCTCATGAGAAGATAGAACATGGCTTCTGCGAGGTAGAGGTAGAAATACCATCGTGGGAAAAGCTGTGGCCTTTGAAGGCCGATGGTGATGAAGAGGTCTTGGAATGCGGTGAAGGTGTATGATGAATTGCCTGAATGAGGGTGAAGGATGGAGTTATTGTTGTTTGTAGTGGGTGGGAAGATGGAGACGACGTAGCCGATGAGGATGAGGAATATGAAGAAACCTTCCGTTCTCCTATATTGAGAGAGAGAGAGATAGGCGGCGTGGAAAGTGTGTTGTGCATGAAAATAAATAAATAAAGTGTGTTATTTGGGTAAAAACCCCTAAACAAAAATGCCTTCTCATGGTGGGAAAACCTATAAAAGTAGAGGAATGCAGCAAGAAAAAATACCTCCCACCCGACTATCACCAAGATATGTTTATGAAACTCCACAACTTGCAGCAAAGAGATCTTTCAGTTGAAGAGTTCAAAAACTAATTCGACTACTTGCAACTAAAATGCGAGCTAACAGAGCCCGAGGAACGTACGATTGTCAAATATCTCGAGGGTCTGAAAAAGACTTAAACATATTTTATTATAAATTATCTTAACTTATTAGAGTAAAATGAAAATATGACATTCAATAGGACACAACTGAGAAGAAGAATTCATGTAGCTGATCCTATTTTGTGTGATAAAGTTTTGTTATATTTATGACAATATGAACAGTAAGGAAAAGAGCATATAAATAAAAGTGAAACTATACAAGTGGATTTACAGTTAGATACCAATGCAATTGATTGGGAAGAAACAAAATGTTATTATAGATCAAAAACAAGATCACTCAGCTCAAGCTTTTCATCTTTTTGCATCCTAAGTTATAATTGACTCTTAAAAACTATGAGATCCTACAGGTGAACCCAAAGCAAAGTATAAGATTTCGTTAATCATTCAAAGTGTTTCTTTTCATTAACTCTTTAATTACATTCATTATGCTTTAATTTACATTTGTAAATATGTTAAATTAATTAATCTTTATCCTATCACATATATTATATTAATTTGATATTTAACAAATTTATCGCAATATTTAGGGTTTTATTAATAAAATTCTCTAAATTAATACATAAAATGCTTTGTACATTTAAATAGCAATTTATTATATTTATTATTGTTAATTTCATATAAAAGCTTTGATTTAAAAAATTGAAAATATTTTATTTAAAATTACCACGGCTCGAAAATGCTTCCAAATCCACAGAAAAGCTTTCCCTGTTCGAGGAAGCCAAAGCATGCTTGGCAACTTCACCTCCTGCAACTTCGATCATTAGCATCGTCACCCACGTCGAGCCCTAACTTGTTCGACCACATTTCCCACTCAAAAACGAACTCCCACGCAATCGTTGTGTGTTCTTCTGTCGAACCACCTGGTGATGTCCCGTCTTCAGAAGACTTTCTTTACGACTTCGTTTGAAACCAATGTAAAGTGCTCGCTTGATTTTTCCCTTGCTCTCTACCCTCACTTCCTCCGTTTGAGTGTTTGTGAGACCCACACATGGCATTGTTGAGCTCGATCAGGACTAGGGGTGTAAACTAGTCGAATACAAGCGAGTCTGGGCTCAGCTCCAGACTCGCTCGTGTTTGACTCGTTAAAAACTACCATTGTTCGTGTTTGAATTGTTTATATTTCGAAACCAAAAATTTTGTTTGTGTTCGGCTCGTTTGCTTAGCGAGCTAAACGAGCTGTTCACGAACAAAATATCATTTTGACAATTAACAATAATGATATTTTGCCAACTGTTGAATTAACTACTGTTGTCTTTGCTACTATGGATGACTTATCCATGTTGCCTTTGAAAATCAACAAGCCTTTGGTGCAATTGGTTGATTTTCCGCTGCTTGTCCTCCAATGTAATTTCCTGAATACCTCGTTGAGGATTTCTCCTTAGCGGCATAACATCTCATTGGCTCTGATACCAAATGTCATTGTTCTAAGAGGCTTAGAAAGTGTTCTAGAAGCTGATTTTTGAAGGGTGGCGGTTGTAGAGTAACCAAGAAGTAACAATAGAGATTTTTTGCGGCATTTGGAAGGATGTTGGAAGCAAGATCTGTTGTAGGACAGCAGATGGATTTGAGTGCGGCAGCTTTTTGTACTGAAAACCATAACCGAATGGGGATTTTGGCGAGGTAAGGGTAGTTGGACAACAATCCGAAATCTATAAAATGTCCTTTCAAAACCAGCGGACAAACAATGAGTTGACGAGTCTGGGACGGCGAGGGGGATCCACCAACTTTTCTTACGCAAGTTACTGTCACAACACTTGTAGAAGGAAGGTTTAGAACACTTTGGAGAGGAAAATTCAAGGAAATTGTTTCTAAACTCATAAAAAATATATGTAAAAGATCCCTAATAAAAACTAACC